ACCTTGTCCCCAATGGGATGGAGAAGCGGATGCACAGTTGTCGGTACATCTCGAAGCCAATTGTGTGTTGGTATTGTCTGCAGACTGTAGCTGCTGCTCCTGTTGTTGTGTTGATGAGGATGTACCTCAAATCAGTGCTGAGGCGAACATGTCGTTCACCATCTTTGATTGTTGATGCCACTGCTCGTAGTTGTAGCTCTGTGAGTTCTGCTGTGCCTCGTTCTGCTGCTTGTAGTAGTTCTGTGTAATCGTTGTTTTGCAATCCCATGTATGCTGTGAACTTGTATTTCCATTCTTCGAACGTGCCGTAGTCTCCATTGAAGAAAGGTGGTTTGAGTTTGTATCTGTTCATGTTTGCTATTTTTGCTGTTGTCTCATCTTCTGGAACTGGAGGTAGGCCATCTCCAGCTTGAGCTGCTGCTGGTTGTGCTGCCATTGTTGCAGCTGTACAAGCTACCTATTGTAGGGTCAAGGCTTGTCCTCTGTTCTCGGTGTTTGTGTGTTTGTTCCTGTTGTTGTATTGGAGCTCACCTGGATTGTTGTTACCAGGATCCTTGCTCCGCTACCATGTAAAATTCAGCAGCTGTTTGTTTGTCGTTTGTTTGTGCACGCCTCTGTATTGTTTTCCTCTTGGCAACTGTCCTTAGGCTCAACTAGGCTAGGCTCAAGGCCTTTGATCCAAGGTGCATTGTATAGCACCAAGTCATTGTACATGAACACTACGATGGAGTAAACATACAATTGTACAGAAGGTTGTATCTTGACATCTCTCTCTCTCTCTCTTTCTTGTTGGCTTGCTGAGGGTCTCTTTCCCTCCATGTCTTTCTCCCTCTCTTTCCCTCTCTCTCTCTCTCGCCTTTTGTTTCTGTCGCTCTCTCTCCGTCTGTTTCTCTCTTTTCTTTCTTTCTTTCTTTCTTTCTGTCTTTCTGTCTTTCTTTCTTTCTGTCTCTGTCTCTGTCTCTGTCTCTGTCTCTGTCTGTCTGTCTCTTGACGGCAGTAAAAATCCTCTTCTCCTCTTCTAGTCCTCTTCCAGAAGCCGTGCTTTCTGACGGCCGGATGGAGCTCCAGAGAAAATCTCTTCTTCTCCTCTTCCCTGACCCGTTCTCCAGGCGCTCCCACTCTGAGCCGTTCTCCAGGAGCTCCCAATCTAAGGACCTGCGCCCGGTTCCACCCACAAGCGACTGAAAATGCGTCCTCGGAGCTGCAATCTAAACCCGGATGCAGCAAAGTTCTCTGACGCGTCCCCCCGCCAGGGGTCGGCGGATATATATATATATATAGATATATTGGATACATTGCCATACGTGGTCCTCAAGTAATTCCAAATCAGATTTGAAGCATTTGCATCAGCTGGCACCACAGGAAATTCTGGCATGGCCTCATATGACAGCAATTGGTGCCTCTAAGGCATGACAAACAGGAGCAAAAGAACAACAAACAACGTCCTTCCACGTCACATTTTTGGAGCTTTGGCATAGGAGCTCTGCCAAGTGAAAACCAAAGCACTCTGTATACGCCCTGAGTGATCAAACACAATTTTTCTTTTAAATTCAACAAGCTACTTCACAGGTCCTTTCACGACACAGCCCTGAGTCCAAGCAAAGCTCCTTTGTGCCTGTCCACATCATTTTGCCATCAGGTCCACGACGCCGCTTTGTAAGAGGCGCACCTTGAAAGGAAGAGAACTTGGAACCTGAAGGGAGTGCACCAGCACAGGCAGCTATCCGCTTCAACAATTCAGGATCATTGCTCCAACATTTTTGCCGTTTTGGCGTTGTCTTGAAGAAGGGGTGCAGGCCATGCCACAGACCGATGGAGTAGACCTGCCAGCAAAAGAGCTGAAATGCAATCCATACTCAGTGGCCACCCACGCCTGAACCAGTTTGCATAGCACCACGCGGCAAGAGCTCAAAGGCAGACCCTTCAGGTTGCTCTATCAAGAACCTCACACCCCTGCTGGCTGCAAGAAGGGCAAGCAACACTGTTCTGATGCCAAGCAAGTTTTCCGTTGCAATGGATTTGTATCCATGATTGCCTGGTAGATGATCGAGCGTTGATGTGTGCCGGAACACCTGGGCCCAGCAAGTTTCAAAGCTACTCAAACACGAAGACAGTACTTAAGCACCAGACGGCAGGCAAACGGTGCAACAGAGAAGGGCTAGGATGAGCAACCCACTGCACTTGATCCTCTGGCCTTCACTCACCATTTTTCTGCGATTGGACTTGCATCGCAACCTGAAGCCTTTTTTCTCCAAAGCATCCCAATCAAATCCTGTTTTTTCCAAACAGTCAGTTCCATCCAATTGCTCTGCATCATGACTATTCGTGTTTGGAACTGCTTCCTCCCTGAGTTTCTCACTCACTTCCCAAATGTTGTTTTCTCATCCACTTGATTTTCTGGCTCTTGCCACCTTCACTTGCCCAGAGCAGGCGCTTGAATTTTGAAGATTTTGAAACACAGGCAGCAAAGCCAAAAGCCCTTATTGCACTCCATTTCGCAACAACACTTTGAGCGGCACCACAACGACCTGGCGCATGCAAGCACACTACAAATTTTTGCACACCTGAACCTGAACACCCTGAAAAAAAGGCATCATTTTTCAGTTTCTCAAGCCTCTCTTTTTTAGAATGCAGTTTAGCAGATAACTCACGTTCAGATTCCCATTTTTTTTCTGCCGAGTTTCCGCAGCATCCTTTAATTCTTCAACTTCCTTAACAAGCTCTTTTTTCCGATTTTCGTCCTCACAAATTTCCAATTCCATTTCAGAAATTAACATTTTTTCCTCTATTTTGCGCAATTCAAGTGGCTTGGAACTTAAGGAGGACTGCTTCATAGAAGCAGCTTCATCTATCAAATCTATTGCGCTATCTGGAAGAAATCGCGATGTGACATATCTTTTTGCAAGACGTTCAGATTCTTGTATAGCTTCAATCGAAATACGAAGCTTATGATGAAGCTCATAGCATTCTTTTAATCCTCTGATCATTGCTACTGCTTGACTTTCGCTTGGCTCATCAGCATACACAACGCTAAATCTTCTTTCTAAAGCTTGATCTTTTTCAATATATTCCCTATATTCGTCTTCTGTAGTTGCACCTATGCATGCAAACTCTCCTCTTGCAAGCATAGGTTTCAACATATTTGCAGCATCCATAGACCCTTCAGCTTGCCCTGCACCAACGATTGTATGCAGTTCATCTATAAAAATACTGACATTTCGATCATGAGATTTCACTTCGGTGAGCAGGCCTCAGCATTCAATTCTACATCTTTCATTTCACAGGCCCCCGTTTGCTCAAACTGTTTGTCCGACCAGGCTTTCACAAGCGAAAAACCAGCTTGGCGGCCAGCAAAATCATATATATATATATTTATATAAACAAATGCCTAGCTCACACAGCGTATACCCCACAAAGACATCATGGAGTTCCGGGCCCCTCGCAACTCAGGGAACATGTCCCAACATTTGACATAGGTGTTCAAGATATCTGGATCTTCATTGGCCTGCTCAAGCCTTCCTGCTTTGATCTTGGTGGACATGTCAGCAAGGTCTTTCAAACCAAATGCCTGCGGAAACACAATCACGCTTGACATGAGTGCAAATGAGCAGCAATCCAACTCAGACTCATTGAAGCTGATTGACACTCTCAATTGGAGCACTGGGAGTCGCTGTTGACAGCCGTTTCCATCCCATGGACCCATACATGCAAAAACAGACATCTAACACGGTATTTGAAGATCCGTCCCAGCCATGACACCTGGGCACGCCACAGAGAAAAACGCACAAGAAAACGGACAAATGCAAACCTGGCAAACTCAAAGCTCATGCGTGAATGCCAAAATGTATGCATGACAAACTTTTTCAACGTTGGCGTGGCATCTTCTTCGGCTGAATTAGCCGGATGCCATCTGCTGGGGAATCCACATACCATCTGCTTGCCATACAGAGACAGCGCACAGGCTGACTCCTAGAAATGTCAACTCACATGCCTCTGTGGCTGAAGACATGCTCAGGCTCCGCACCGTCCTACAGCAAAAAGGGTTGAGTGAAAGATGCAACAAAAAGAGAAGGGTTCTGGCCTCATCTGAGGTATTGCCACTCAGACTCATCCATAGAATCAGTGAATGGCAAATCCTTGCGAAAGTGTTCCTGGAACGCTTTCTGGAAGCAGAGGTGCTGTTCAGATATTTGCTCATCCCCACCTCCACTGCATCGTGGTAGAGGTTCATCGGATTGGAAGCTTTCTGCTGCACGCTTCCTGGAAGGCCAGCCTATGGGAACTGTTGGAACTACCCGTGGCGCAAAGGTATTGCTCAGCAGCGGTGGACGTGGCGCGGCCGGCAAGCAAAAGCATTGAACATGGCAGCGGGTATTCAACAACTGCACATGCATGGCAAAAAACAAAAGCTTCATGGAACACAGCAAGTTCATGTAGGAGAAGTCAAATGCTTCACAACAGCAAACACAAAAAAGACATCATTCAAAAATCGCTCAACAAATGATTCCAGAACACTCCCAAAAGACACCCAGGGGAATTCCAGGTGCATGTGCAGTAGAATGGCTGGCTCCTACTGTAAACGCTCAAATCTACCAGAGACTATAAGCTGTTTCTTGTAGTCAAACCGCTGGTCCAGGATACCCATACAACTCGGCCAGTGTTGCCTATAGGTAAATGCAAGAATAGTAGTTGCAACCAAGAAGTTGGGGGGAACTTAAGGCGATGATAAGTTTTTTTTTTCAGAATGACTTGCAACATTTCTCAAGGTTGCAGAGGCTTCAATGAAGAGCTGCAAATGGGCTATATAGTCTAAAGCTGCAGATGGAGTCTAGCACATGGAACAATACAATGGAGAGTGTAAGCTGGGGGTTCGTCAATGAAGTGACAAACATTGAAAGCTTCTTTGGCTTAGGTAAAGAAACATGTCATGATGGCTCCAGGGCAAAGTTGGACAGTGAAAGATTGCCTCATAATACGGCAAAAACTGATCTTTGAGCACGCCAATGCATTTCTTGATGGACTTGCTTTTGGAAGACCCAAGACCCCCCCTCAAAACTGGCGCACACGAGCCGGAGGCCAGCAACTCGTGGTCATCACTGTCGCCCACGGGCACGCTGCCCACAGCGCGGTATTACCACACTGCGGTGTGGGGCATTTCGTCTTCGGGCAAACATGGGTTTTACATCTTCGGGGGCGATGATGGCAGCCATGGCCTTGGGAGTTTCAGAGGGGCGATGCAAAAGCATCGGGTGGGATCGGGAGGGAGAGCAAACCGTTCGCCGAGGCTATGTGAACGATTTACATTTCTACAGCCAGGCAGGATGAGGGAACAGGCTTTCGATTGAGTTGTTCAGAGACCGTTAGTAATTGGCTGCTACTCATACATCTCGATTTTTTTGGACAGTTGCGGCATTCTCTTCGAAATTGCCTTGATGAACCCTCGCAGGCTGGTGAAGATACATCTCAGGCCAAAGACCCCGTCGCAAATGAGCTTGTTGACAGAAGCCGTGGTGACGGACAGGACAGTTTGCAGGGTTACATCTACTTTCACATGGTGGTGGTGTGCGGTAGTAGGAATCAGTCCTGTCAAGAACCTGCTCACCTGAGCATTTCCTGCACAAGGACTGCATCTTGAGGCCCTATTTATAATCAGTCACAAGCGGGGCAGTCACAAGCCTGCACTCCCCTCGTCAAGCAACGCAAGGGGAAAAGATCAGGTCCCTCTTCAACACGTTGCTCAGTCAAATTTGGCATTATAGTCACGCTGCCCAGATTCAAGCAGAGTTTGCACCTCAGAGGCAGCGTTTCCACCACATTACAAGGAAGGCACACAAACAAATATCAGCCAATGCCGCGTCGCAATATCTGAAGGCAGGATCAATCAATGGCTGGCCAAGGGCTTTACAATCAGCCCACCTGTCTCCTCATCTTTGGCAGGGATGCGATGCCAAGAGATGACATTTTTGAAGGTCTTAGTGGCCTATTGGCTCTAGAAAACGCTTGATAAGCCCTGTTGGTTTCTGACTCCTCTGCTTGAGCCATATGAATGAACACTAGAAGGTCCCACAATGCGGAAGAGCTTACAGATATGACATGATATGACCCCATGGACCAGATACTCGAACTGTATACACGTCCCCAGGCTGTAACGCTCCAGCCAGCGATGCGTGTCCCAGCCAACTTATCCAGCCAGCCTCACGAATTCTATTTTATATACTATGACTTTACCCACTTTCAACCAACCCAGGCAAACATTGCCTTTCGTCAAGGGCAAAATCCCCACCTGTCAGGTGAGGGTTGTTAGATTATTACAGATAGTCTTCTCCTCCTCCTTCCTTCATCGTTCCGGTCCCCGGACCTCAACAGCAAGCGCCAGATCGCAGTGGTAGGCGCCCTTCCCAATGCCATTCCAGCACCATTCCCATAGCCATTCCTCATTTGATTTGTTTTTGCCAGCAGAGTCCAACAAACAAGGCTCTACTTCTAAAAGACTTAACATTTTTTGATCAAACAAAGGAGTTTTCTACCAGAGGAAGTGAACATGAGGAATGGCTATGGGAATGGCACCGGGAAAGGAGCATACTTCAAATGTGTGTGAGTTTATACAAATCGAGCTCACCACCAGCAATGGCACTGGACAAATACAGGAGATTGAGGTCGAGGCCGTGAAACCAATGAAAAGCTCAAGGCTTTCATTTGCTGGAACAATGCAGCAAATCGGGGTCGAGGCAATGAATTCATTGAAACTCAAGGATTTCCTTTTTACTGTTCCATTTGCAAACTTCGAATGGCGCTGGGAAATTCATTGAAGTTCAAGGGCATTTACTCTTTTATGTGCAAACTTCGCATGGCACTGGACAAGTTCAGCAAACTGAGGTTGAGTCAATGAAGTTCATGGATTTCTTTACTTCGATTCAGTTATGTCATCAAACAACGCTTAATGGTCATGCTCACCCTCCCCCCCACTACTGTCTCCGAGTCCTTTTCTTGGCGATGAAATTCCCGAGCTTGAAGCAGTGAAACCGTAGAGTTTCAGAATGGTTTCCTGCGAGGCATTTTGAATAGGAATCAGTGTGCAGTAAAACTGCATTATATACTAGCATCATAGAAAGACGGTTCATTCGTACATTGTATGCGTGTGACGTACTGCAGCCCCTTCAACAAACAGGAAAAAGTGCGTATGGTAGCGGAGCTGAGAAGGAGGTAACCCCTCCGGAGCTCTGAAAGAAAAACCCCTAGGTCACTGGGATCCCGGGTGCGATTTCGTGCCATAGATGTGGGGCCTTTGGAGCCCGAGCAGCTGGACTGGTGAAGAATTGTTGTGAGCAACACTCTGTAGCCAGTACATATGTCAAAGAGACATTAGCACAAGGAAAATTTTGATGAGATCAAGGAAATCCTTTGTACAATAGCACAGAGTACGCCGGCAACAACATCAGCGGCAGAGGCAGTGAAGAAAACAATTGAAGACGAGAAGTCATCAACAACAGAGTGGTCAAAATTGATAGCAAAGCCCAACGTCTTTGACGACAAGTCACAAGATGGAGAGATCAAGGCATTCAGAGAGCGGTCATGGATCTTAGAGAAGTACTTGAGCGCAGTTGATGAAGGCTACATGAAGGACCTGAAGGAAATTCTTGATAAGCCAAACGAGAAATTTGACATGGACTTGGCAACAGCTTTATGAATTGTTAGCTTCATTGATGAAAGGAAGGGCACTGCAATTGGTGAAAGCTGTGGAAGACTCTAGTGGATTTGATGCCTGGAGGAGTTTGATTAAAGCTTTGACACCAACTTCAAACGCAAGAGGCTTGGCTCTCTTGGGAGCAGCTGCTACATGGCCAGCGTGTTCAATAAACTGCGCACTACAACCTCAACTCTTGGAGCTTGAAGAAGGTTTTTGATGATACTGTCAAAGTAGGAACTACAATTCAGCAAGGGTTGAAATCTGCTATTTTTTTGAGATGTGTACATGGACAACTAAAATCCTACAAGGAACATGTGTTACAATGGTATAGATCTCAGCAGTGGGCTACTTCCATGGTGGCTAGTAGCAGTACAATGGACGTTGATAGAGTCCAAGATGCCAAAGGAAAAGGTAAGAAGGGCAAGAATGACGGTCAGAAAGGCAAAGGTAAAGATGCCAAGGGCAAAGGGAAGAAAGAAAGGACAAGGATATCAGAAAGGAAAAGAAGTCGATTACCAGATATTACACGGGTAAAGGTAAAGGCAAAGACCAAGAAGGCAAAGGTGTCACTTGTGGGAAGCCAGGACATCTTGCTAAAGACTGTTGGAGGAACAATATTCGACAGGTAGCAAGTGATCAGACCCATTCATCTTCAGGAGGAGCATCGGTTACAACTCATACAGTTGGCCAACAGCGTGCCAACGTGAGCCAACGGAGTGGCTCAGCAGAGACCAAACCAGTGGTCAGAAGTATTGAGAACAATGAACCAATCATCTTTGACTTGAGAGAAAGACAGGATGACTAGAAGATCAGGGAATCAGAGTGATTCACTTCTACATTGGGGATGATGATGATGAGCCAGAGATCCAGGAAGTTGAGGAGATTGACATCTCAGATGATGAACCCATGGTGAGGAGACTTGGGGAAGAGAACGAGGATGTGGCTATCATTATTGACGGTGGAGCTGATGTAGCATTATTCCCTTTGAGTATGGCAGCTCATGGGAAAGGAGAACTACAATTCAGCGCAAAGACCAAGCTACAAGATGCACAAGGAAGTCGTATCCCCCCAGAAGACGCGAAAAGTGTTGAAATTTCCTTGCGCGACCTTGATGGACGAGAAGTTCCCCTGAAAGAGAATGTGATCTTCAATTTCAAGGTGAATCAGCCAATGCTTTGTCATTGGGTTGATGGAACATGGTTGGGGAATCAACAGCAGGGAGCAACTGTTGGAGAATGGTGACTTGAAGGTACCGCTCAACTTGCAAAATCGCTCTTTGACAGTACAAGGCCGTGTTAGAGTCATTAGTGATGAAGATGAGAACTGCTTGGAAGTGCAAGTACCGGAAGCTTTGGAAAAGGAATCAGGTTGGAGATTCAATGAACATGGACTGCTGGTTGGAAGCCTATTGACTTCAAGGTTTGTGGAACCCACAGTCATTCCGGAAGTGGAAGTATCACCAGTTTGATGAGAACCACTTCGGTGAAAAGAGGAGGTCGATGGCTAATGCCTGAATATTGTGAGAGCGTGATGAAAAAGGAGGAACTTGCGAGCAATTCTTTGATGATGATGCAGTCATTACTTCAATCGCAATCTTCAGCTATGAGCCAGCGCCGCCAGAGGATATAGGATTCTTTGCGCCAGGATACAAGAAGCTTGAGAACAGAGAGCAGAGAGAAAAAGAAGCGCAAAAGGCCATAGTAGAGATTTCCCCCACTCCACAGGAGAAGGAGGTAGAAGGCCAGAGAGAAGAGGAAAAGAAAGATGAAGACCTGGAATGTGAATTACAATTGAGCCCAATGGATGTAGACAAAGTCTTGGCGAATGGAGTAGAGTTGGCTAAGGAGTCATCTTTGGCAACTCTGAGGGCAGCTTGTTCAGTTCTCGGCATTTCAGGCAGTGGCGCGAAGCTAAAGGTCTACACCAAGGTCCTCAATCACAACAAGAAGATGGAATTGTTGAACGCTAAAAGCTTGGTGAGTGAAGCAAAAGCTCAGGAGACTAGAGAGGCTTTGGGGCAAAGTGTTGCAACGATTCCAGATGAAGCAACACAAGTTGATGCACATACCATCTGCCAATTGGTGTAAGGGGTGCATTGAACATCGAACAGATGGAGTAAAGAGAGGAAGTTTTCCTCAGGTAAGCTTTGACTTTTGCTATAGAAGAGGAAGAGATTCAGAAACAAAGCCAGCAAGAGCAGTATGTTAGTTAGTTGCAATTGACAGCCAAACTGGATTCATTCATGTTGTGCCATTAGGAAGCAAAGGCCAATTTCGCCGCATTGTGCAGGAGTTGATGAATTTGAGTCAATTGTTGGGGTATTCAGCAACCAGAATGAACCCGCAACAAGGCAGATCCTCCAGACGCTAATCAATGCGCGGAATCAATTGCAGATTGGCTGGCTCAAAGCTTGGAAATGTCAGAGAACACAGTTGACAGGGTGCGAGAGCTTGCAGGAACTTTTTTGAAGGTGTGCAGTCAAGGCTTGGCGTCAAGATTGGATCAGATCAT